AAAACGACAGCAACTTGTCTGTTCCCCTTCCCCCAATTCCCCAGCACTGTTCCCATCCCCCAATTCCCTAATAAAAATCTTAAAAAAAAAAAGAAGACACAGCAGGTTGGATCACACAGGCAACTCTCGGGGTCTGCCCAAGACATTGCCGTAAAAGGGATGGACAGATAGTGCTGAAGAGGGTCTGAGAAAGGAGGCTTTCTGGTTGTGGATATCCTCGCCAGCTTCCAGAATGAAGTTATATTGGACCTGGAACTGGACTTGGATAGAATGTAGGATTTGAATGTGGGCAGAGGAGAGAGTTGCAGCAAAATGCCATGAAAAAGGGAGTGGCCTGAGTAAACGTACAGCGGTAGGAATATGTGGAGTGTGTGTGGAAAGAGTTCCTTTTTCTCTGTGGTATTCAAAGAATTGCAGAGGTGTAGGGAAGGAGGCAGTGGAGATGGTACAAGTGTGGGGCAAAATCATAGAGAGCCTCGAATGCAAGGCAAAGGAGTTTTGGAATTTATCCCATCAGCCTTAGCAATATCTTTTATTGCTCAAATATCTCTTAGATATATCCCATCTTCTCTATCCCCCCAGCCGCTGTGCCAGCTGAGGCCACATCATCTTTCTCCTGAACTCTTGCTTCCTCCTCAATACAGACCCAGAGGGACTTTTTTTATACCCAAACCTGCTTCCCATGGCTCAGAGCCTTTCCCTGACTTCCATGACTTCCCTATCAATTTGGGAGAGAGCCCAAGCTCCTCAGCCTGGCATCTGAGGTCCTTTAAAGGAGGAAGGGGCTGAGTGAAGACTGTAGGAGAGAGAAGAAGGCAGACATGGTGTTGGGGCTCCACAGAGAGTCATGGGGATGCTCCTCTGTTCTTGAAACTCCTAGCAGCTGCTCCCATGAAGCGCCTAATTCAAAAGATGAACAGACCTTAACCTTTTCACTGCATTCGTTGATTTCAAGTTTGTTCTCCAAAACGTGTCAAAAATCCCCAGAAAATAATTAGAGCATTTATATTTCTAAGTAAAAGAGTTAAGGTGCTACATTTTATTAAAATAAATTATTACTTAAAGTATAAAAATATCTTATTGTTATTCATTCTTGAACAACACAAAAATATAGACAAATGTACATCTGCTTTCCTAAACCTACTTTCTGGAACACTGAGCTCATGGGTAAAGTCGAATGCCACTGTCAGCAGTATGGAAATATCATTCAACTATAGACAAATGTCACAGCAAAAAGTTAAGGGTGATGGAAGGGACAATAACCCCTAGTAAGCAGTGAATTTATTTCTATCCCCACCACATGTCTCTTACTGCTGGCTCTCTCCTCATCCATTCCAAACTCTTCCCTCCAGAACACATGGATCGAGATCAGAGTTAGCAGCAGCATAGGTCCTGGTCCTCTCTGGTCCCTGAGGTTCCATTGGTGCTGATGGCACTACTACTCTTATGGTTGGGTAAGTGGAATGAAAGGCAGGGTGGGAGGCATCTGAGGAAGCCAAGAATGGGCCAGGGTGGGTGTGGGTGTGGGTGGAAGATGTGCAAGGCTGAGGGAAGTTGAAGTGGTGAGGACCTAAAGCAGCGGTTCTCAACCTGTGGGTCGCGACCCCTTTGGGGGTCGAATGACCCTTTCACAGGGGTCGCCTAAGACCATCGGAAAATGAAAAGATATTTACATTACGATTCATAACAGTAGCAAAATTGCAGTTATAGAATAGCAACGAAAATCATTTTATGGTTGGGGGTCACCACAACATAAGGAACTGTATTAAGGGGTTGCGGCATTAGGAAGGTTGAGAACCGCTGCTTTGGGAGATTAAGCAGCTTGCCCTAAGTCCTTAGAAATTTTGCTAGTGGAGTGCCCAACTCTTCTGACTCCTAGTTCCATTTTAATGCCATGTCCTTGCTACTCTAGAACCTAAGTGATACATGTGTCCACATCCTTTCTCCCCATCATCCTGTATGGTAGGTGTTATTAAGTCACATCTTAGAGAAGAAACAGCATGGTGGTCCAGAACCACGTGTTGAGATCCATGGAATGTGATGTCTTGGAGTACTGGACTTCATGTGTGGAAAGCTGGGGTCTGGGCCTGATGCTGTTACTCTTTTCTCTATCACATGGGACAGGGCCCTTAATTTCTCTGAACCTCAGTTTCCCCTTCTGTCTAGGGGAGTTATAATAAAGGCATTATGAGAATGGCTTAAGCTGATTTCTATGAAGGTGTTTGGAAATCTATAAACGCTTACACAGGAGGTATTACTACCATCATTTTAGGATGTCATTACTAGAAGTGGCCTCAGGAACCATGAAGTTTACCAGGACATCCATTTTGTACACAAGAGAGTTGTCACCTAGGAAATGGAGAAGGAAGGGGAAGGAATAATTGTCTAACAATATGCATTATTATTATTATAGGGTGCCATGTGCCTCTGTAGTTAATGTCTTCAATTCTCACAACATTGCAGCATTGGTATCATTGTACCCATTTTTATGATTGAGAAACTGAGGTTCAGAAATGATGCCACATGACCATGGTCACAAGATACAGTTACTACCAACGAACAACAAAAACCCAGGAAACCAGATTAGGTTGGTGCAGTTGGGGAGTCCCCAAGACCACCCTCAGGTTCCACGATTCACAAAAAGGAGTCGCAGAACTCAGCAGAACTATTGCATTTATAGTTACAGTTCATTATTGCAAAAGAGATTTAAATCAGCAGAGAGAAGAGGCACATAAGGCAGGGTCTAGGAGAGACCAGCCAGAAGCTTCCAGTTCTCTCTCCCAGTGGAGTCGTGCGGACGGTGTTTACTTCTCTCAGAAACATAAGGCAACACACACAGTATTGCCAAGCAGGGAAACTCACTGAGCTTTAGTGTCCAGGGCTTTTACTGGGGGTCTGGTCCTGTAGACATGGCTGACCACCCCTCTGGCTGACCTTAGTCTCCAGCTCCTCCAGAGGTCAGACTGCTACCTCGTGCCCCAAGGTCCCCACCATCAATCACCTTGTTAGCATAGATACCCGGTGTGGCCCCGGGCCCCAGGTAAACCGAGACACTCTTATCAGGCAAGACATTCCAAGGGCTTAGAGGTTCCCTCCTAAGAGGTGGGTAAGAGTCAAATCTTTCTAGAGTAAGGTTAATCCTTTAATGCTCCACTGGGATCCTGGGGGGCACTAGATGAGTCTGTTTTTCAACTTGAATCTCTCCCCACAGGGTTACTGTCTCATGTTTTGATGGAAGTCACGAAGATACCAGTGGAAGAGGGCCTGTGCCCTGCAGTCCCTTGCAGATTAGAATTTCCCAAAGAACCCCAAAGCAATTCCATGATCACAGGCTACTGGCTCAATAAGAATATCAGCTCCCCGATAGCTTCAAACCGACCCCGTGCTACCATAGATGACAACACCAACGGAAGATTCCACAGTATTTGGAATCTTCAAGTACGAGACTGTACCCTGCTGATCCACAATGTACTCAAAAGGGACAACGTGACATCCCATGTAGATCTAGGAGAACAAAAGAGTGCTTTACTGGGGGAGAATATCACAGTCTCTATGTCAGGTGACATTCAATCTCATGCAATGGGTGGTTTGGAAAGAAGGAACTCCAGAAGAGGTTCTGGTAAGTGTATGGTTTTTACCTCACCAGGCACTGGGCTTTCCAAAACCTTAGTGACTTAATTTTTACAACAATAAATACAAAGAGATAGGTAGGATCGATATCTTTATTTTTCTGAATAGAAATGGCAAAGAGAGAAGTGACTTTTCCAGCAGCATCAAGCCAGTAAGACATGGAGGCGTAAATGATCACAGATCAGCTGGAAAGGGACAGAGCCTACGGGGAGAGTTGGACTGGAAGGGAGGGAAGGAGGCTGGGGGATAGACAAGGGGTCATAGGCAGTGTAGATACTTAGGAAATTCACTCACCAGGGTTTGGGTTCAAGTTCTGCCACCTTAGGCAAGTTTCTTCAGTTTGCTCACCTAAACAGTGGGGTTATGTCCCTTCCATGCAAAGAAGGGAAATAAGAAAAACTGCCCAACGATAGCAACTGCAGGTTCCAGGAGGAGTGAGGAAGGGGTACAAAATGAACTAATGGGTGGGAAAGCACTTTGTAATCTGCAAACACTGTGCATCAGTGAAGTGTGCCATGAGGGTTCCTTGTCTCTAAGGTTTGGGTCCAATCCATCTCTCACCTTCAGACTTGACCCAGAAACCGGAGCTCCACATCCCAGAGATCCTTGTGGCTAGGGAGCCTGTGACCTTGACCTGTACCATCAGAGGCTCCTGCATAAAAACCAAAGCCCTCTTCCTCTCCTGGAAAGGGCCGACCATGTCCTTCAACACAGATGGCTCCAGCAACAGCTCCTCCTCTTCCTTGGTGCTGCGCTTTCCCCCTAAGCCTGAGGACTATGGCACCACTTTCCAATGCCAGTTGAACTTCTCCCTACCTAACTTGACCAGAAGTAACATGGCTGCGCTCCAGGTGATCTGTAAGTGCTGGTGGGCCAGGGAGGAAAAGAGTCTGGGAAAAATGATAAGCCCAAGAGAAAGACCAGAGTCCTGTAGGAAGGGAAGGAAAGAAGTCTGGGGAGAACTCACATCTACCCCCTGGTTTCTGGGTCTGAAAGTTTAGAGGTAAAAGCTGAACCAGAATCTGAGACAGATGAGGAGAGGATGAAGGGGAACGGCTGTGAATCCCAGCTCCTCTGCACTCCCAGGAAGTTTTTTTGAAGCTCCTTGTGAATCATGAATGAGGAGAAGGCTGGGTCCTAGAGGAAGCGGAGAAGGGAGGTCAGGATGCCTTGCCGACTCCTGACCCACCCTCTCCACAGTACCCGCTACGCTGCTCCATTCCTCCTGTTCCTTGGAGAAGATGCTGCAGTGCAGCTGCTCTTTCTACGGGATCCCCACACCCTCCGTGCAGTGGTTGATGGAAGGCGTTCCTATTAGTGTGAACAGCATGGATAACATCCTCCAGGTGTCTTCCACCATCACTGCCCCCTGGGCCAACAGCACCATCAGCCTTATTGGGAAGCCAGAAATAGTCATGCGCCTCCACTGTGAGGGGAGGAACCTATATGGAATCCATACTTCAAGCATCTTCCTGATACCAGGTAAGTATACAGGGGTCTAGTGACTGGGCTAGAACACCACCACCTAGGGACCAGGGACAAATGAAAGAGTAGTAGCTCAGACTTCACAGCCTTAGGAGAAAAAACACCCTCATTTCCCTCTGATTCCAGATAAGAATTCAGTTTCCAAAGTGTTCATGAAGGGGCTGGTCCAGGGCATTGTATACGGATCCATTGCATCGGCACTCTTCTTCTTCTTCCTTGTCCTCCTAGCGTGAGTATCAAGTTAATCAGCACACCTTTCACAAAGTATACTACATTTATTTACGTTCTTTATGTCCTTCCTTATAACTGTTTCAGTTCATTCTGCTTTGTCTACCCTCTTGTTATGGACTCTTATATTATTAAATTGAAACCATTCTTCTTTTCCAATGTTTGCATTAAGACTATAAATTTCCCTCTAAGCATAACTTTAGCTGCATCTCTCGAATTTTAATATAAAATATTCTATTATCATTTTGTTAAAATATTTCTTATTTCCATTATGATTTTTTGACCCATGGCTTTTTTCAGACACATGAATATTTTTTAATAACCTTCATTTCTTTACTTTTAGTTTAAATCCAGCAAATTCAGAGAATATGTTATGCGTGGTTTCAATTTTTTATTTTCTTTGTGGCACAATTTTTGTTTAGTTTTTATAAATATTCCATGTGGGCTCAAAAATAACATGTATTCTACACTTATTGAATTCAGCATTCTATGTATATGTATAGTCTTTAAATCAAGTTCATTAATCATGTTGTTTAAATCTTCTCTAGCTGTACTGTGATTTCTGCTGGGTGCCCTTCTCTCCACATAATCTGCCATCCCTGCTCCCTTCTCTAACCTGGCTGATGTTTACTCATCATTTAGGACTCAGCTCACAGCTCTTCTATCATGGGCTCCAGGAAACCTTCCCTTGCACCTGGGTTGGGTGCCTTTTCAGGGCTCCCATAGACATCTGGGCTTTGGGGTATTAGTACTAATGCTTTCACTCTGATGTAACTAAGTGTGGATCTCTTTTTTGTTTGCTGTTATTTATACTTGTTTGGCCTCTCTAATCTGTGTTCTGGTATCTTTTATCAATTCTGAAAAATTCTCAACCATTGTTTCTTCATCTGTTGCTTCTGTTCTTCCCTTTTGCTATCGGGTTCTCATTAAATACTTGTAAATCTTTCTTTCAATCCTTTTTCATCTGACCCTGTAGTCCTATATTTTCCAGGGGCATAGACAAGTAAACAAGTGCTAGGTTAGAGGACTGTACAAGGAAGATATGAAGGGAACCCTACCCCTTCAGTATCTCCATCCTTTGGTGGAGGTAGGGCATCAGTACTTCCCAGAAATGCTTCAATTTGCCTTCGTCAGCCCTCTCCAATACAGTAATGTCAGTATTATGAATGCTTTTCTTTTTTCCACAGCTCTCTCATCTCCTCCCCTCTCACTCTCAGCAGTAAGGTTTACCTATTTCACAGGAGAAAAGCAACTCCCAACACCTACAAAGTTATCACTATTGGTGCTGATGATTCACTCCTTACCTTTTTCAGAGAAGGAGGCATTTCTCTTCCTGTCTGAGGTTAGCCCTACCTCCTTAGGAATCCATCTCCTCCACACTCCATTAATCATCCCTTCTGTCTCCTAAATTTTCAATCATTCTTTCTTTACTGGCTCTTTCTCTGAAAGATATAAAAATGCCCAAATCTCTCCCACCTGATCCCCACAAACTCCCTCTATGTACCATCCAATATTTTATTTTGAGAGAATAGCTTACACCCACTTCCTGATTCTCATCACCCTTACATTCTTCAGTCCACTACAATCTTCTCTCCAGCACCATGGCACTGAAACAGCACTTTCTAAAGCAACCAGTTATCCTTATCCTCAAAATCCAATGGCAGATGTTCTGTATTTCCCTTGTTCATCTTTAGGTGGCATTTATGATTTGGGTGGGTATGGTGAGGCCCTCCTACCCAATATCTTTTTTTCACACTAAAGGAGTATGGCAAGGCCAGCTGCTGAAATTGACGTGGGAGGGAGCAGGGATGAGGGGTAGGGAATTTAGGAAGATTACTGATGGTGTTAAGGGCAGTTGGAATAGCCACTGAAGAAAATGAATTAGATCTGTACAAGGATAAGAAAAATAACTGTTGAACAGCGGTGAAGGCCCAATGGTGACGAGAGCTTATTCATTGTGAATGGCACCAAGTGTCATTGCTGTGTAATGCTTCTTCCTAGCAGTGGTCATTGGAAGAGACAGAGTAGATAATGGCATTGATCTAGGTTTGGGTCTTTCCAGGCAGGGTTCCGTGGAAGGGTGATGAGGTGGGAGACAAGGGGGGCCATGGAGGATGAAGGGAGAGAGCACTTTGAGTGGGTACCGTTTGTACCCATCAGGGTAGGGAAGGAGGGAAGGAAGAGGAACCATGACAGGTGCTAGAAAATGTGGCATCTTGGAACTGAAGCTTCCACCTGTGAGATAAAAAATCAGGAACACGAGACTGGAATGAGAGCACAAGAAAGCTGGAGAAAATGGAAGAACTAGGCAGGTCGTGAGGAATTGGGAGTTAAATTTTCAGAGGTGGAAAAGTTTGAGGGGATAATGGACCCTTTGTAGTTAAGGGAGATAAGTCACATTAGTCAGGACTCTTTCAATTGTGAGCAAGAGCCGAACTCAACAAGTTCAAAGAAAAAGAGAACAGCTCTGGTTATCTGTTGCTATGTCACTACCCCCCAAAACTTAGTGACTTTAAACAATGATGTGGGTTTTTTTCACACAATTTCATGGATCAGGAGTTTGGGTAGGGTCCAGCTGGATGATGCTTCTGCTTTCTGTGGCATCCATTTAAGTCACTTAGTGGTAGTCAGCTAGCAGCTGGGCTGAGATGGAGGGTCCAAAAGGCCTTTGCTCACATGCCTGGCATTTTGAGGGGGACAGGTGGAAGCCTGGGCTCAGCTGGTCCTGTCTCCCTTTCCTTGTAGTCCCAGGGCCTCTCATCTCTTCCAAGGCAGAAATGGCCAGTCCTCCTTAAGGCTAGGCCTGGAATTGACAGAGGAAGGCATAGGTTAGCCAGGGAGAAGCACCTCTTCATGGGAGGAGCACCAAAAATTCAGAACCATCTTTAACCTGCCACAGGAACATTTTGACCAGGTGCTAAGTCTAAGATTTAAATGACAGAGATCTATTTTCTCATAGTTGTAGAGGCTGCAAGTCCAAGATTAAAGTGTCAGCTGGGTTGGCTTCTCCTGAGGCCTTGCTCCTTGGTTTGCAGATGGCCACCCTCTTGCTGCCTTTTCACATGGTGATCCTCTGTGCACACATGCCCCTGGTGTCTCTCCCTCTTCTTACAAGGACACCAGTCATATTGGATTAGGTCCCAACTAACAGCCTCTGTTTAACTTGATCACCTCTTTGAAGACCCTATCTCCAAGTACAGTTGACCCCTAAACAACACAAGTTTGAACTGAACAGGTCCATTTATATGCAAATTCTCAACTGACCCACACAGTTCAAACTTGCATCGCTCAAAGGTCAACTGTACAGTTACATGGATTAGGGTCCATCCGTATGACCTCACTTAACCTTAATTACCTCTTTCAAGGCGCTATCTCCAAATACAGCTACATTCAGAGGTACTGGGTGTTGGAACTTCAATATATGAATTGGATGGGAGGGAAACAATTCAGCCCATAGCACAAAGTATCTATACTTCAAGCATGACAGGATCCAGGCACGCAAATGATGTCCCCAAGAGTCGGTCTGTCCCCATCCCTTGGCCCTGCGTCTTCTGTGTTGACTTGATCTCTGGAGGTTCTCTCCACCTAGTGGGCAAGATGGCCCATAGCAACCCCAAGTTCACATTTTAGCAACTTTAGCTGAAATAGAATTTGTCTCTCTCTTGGTGATATGTCAATCCCAGAGAAGACTCTGATTGTCCCTGCTTGAGTCACAGGCCCATCCTGGACCAATGGCCATGTCCAGGTGGATGAGGTACTTTGATGAGCCAATCCTGAGTCCGCTTGCCCACCCTTGTCCGTTCCCATGGAAACCACAAGGAAAGCTCCTGTCCAAGCTTCTCCCCTCCCCCCTTCCACCTCCTAACCCACCCACCTCCAGACCCACCCCATGTGGTCCATGTGGCATGGCATGCCCCTTCTTCTGGGAACTGCGAGTAACAAACTATCTTTTCAATAACAGTTGTCTCCTGATCTGTTGGCTTCACCATAGCCAAATACAAACAAAATCCAAGGTACATTTTAACACAACTCAGGAAGAGCTAGACTGGGTGAAGCAGGGGGACAAGCCAGCAGGCCTGCAGTTGCCAGGGCAGGAGAGGAAGGGGATCGGTTATGTACCCAATGGTACACCCACGCAACAGAACACTACACAGCTACAAAGACAGAGAGTGCCCTCTGTGCACTGATACGCACAAATATGCCAGCAATATTAAGAGAAAGAAGAAAGGTGCAAAAAGCAAGATTTGTCCAGAAAAAAAAATTGTATACATATCAAGACATTAGGGGGTTGGAAGAGAAATGGAGGAAAGGCACAGTTATGAAGAGCCACTCGGCTGAAGGGCTGGGACTTTGTCCTGAGGGTGCTGGGAGCCATGGGAGGACGGTGAGCAGGGGAAGGGCAGGGCCAGCTCTGGGGCAGGAGGCTGAGAAAGAGGCTAGAAAGAGAGTCTAGGCCAAAAGGGTAGGCATTTGTAGCCCCATTTGATGAAGGAAGGGGAGGGTTGGTCACAGAACTGCAAATGGAAGGGAACTTGGTCTTCTTACCTCCAGCCCAGGGCTCCTCCAGGTAACGGGGGAGACTGAGCACTGCATTGACCACAAAACTCACTGCCTTAGAATGAAAGTGCTTAAATGGTGGGAGAAGAGTCAAATCCCCAAAGACGAAGAGGCCCTGATCCTCAGGAAACCAGAGCTGCCGAAGGAACCAGAAACATCCAAGGAGACCGAAGCTGAAACTTTACCAGTCTTGGTTGGAGGTAAGTCCCTGGGCCTGTGGAAGCCCAGGTCATCCACCAGACTGCTGCACTGCTGAGGCCACCAGGGGGCACTTGTTAGGAAACATAGGTTCCCAGGGCTCCCGGACCCTCCAGCTCAAACTCCCAGGGCCAGAGCCCAGAGGGTATGCACTTGGGACAGCTCTCCAGCTCATTCCGATGCACAGCTACTGGCGCAGAGAACCAGGGCTGGGCCTTAACAGCCTCTGTCTGGTTCTTCAAACTGAGCT